AGCACAGATAGCCTATTCTGTAGCTTTGTGCTTAATTTCAAACAACGACAAAACAACAACTCTGTAGCTATTTTTTCGTTAGTTTATCATGAGTCTTTGGTTACGTTTGTACGTGTTTCACCGAGATGGTTTTGTGGAGGGCTGTTCACTCGGCACGTAGGATTAACTGGTATTTTGGATATATTAACGAACAAAGGCCAATGGTGGTCAACTGTGATGCTCGATCACGCGTGAGTGCTTACTTACACGGCACAACTGAACTGATCACACTTCAGGGTCAATTTTCAAACAACAACAACAAAAAAAAATCTCTTTTTTTTTCCCCCTCTCTTTCTCAAGAACTTCTGTGGCGCTTCTTTAGCACGTGCAATACTGAGTAGATTTCATTTTTTCTCGTGCATTGCCGGTTTATAATTCAATATTTTCATGTACGCATGTCTGTCTTCTCGACAAAGCACCTGACCACTGGTCATTGCCCTAGCGCTGTGGAGGAGACTTAATCCCCTTGGAAGGAAATTAATTAATTAATTTGTCAACTTTTATTATGTAACACGAAAAAAAAAGATGTACTGTAAATATTTTATATCTAAACTTATAACACTGGCTATCACACATCACACTTGTGATCAGTACACGCAGTTTCCAGTTTTGTAGAATATTTATTTTCAAAGTTGTAGATAACTTATTATTTTGCTACCAAAGAAAAAACTCTCTTAGTTCAAAATTTTGATTAATGTTTTTCTATACAAAAATACACACACAGAAGATACGAAACGTTCTAAGCCTCCCTTTCTAAAGTTTGATCGGGCTTCAACAAAGAGACGGATACGACGTCCCATCTACACAAGGTGGAAGCAGTTTATTACAGATTTCAATCTTATTATATCTAAAATACCAATAAAACAAGACCAATTTAATATCCCCGTGAAATTCTATAGTTTCAAAGAGAACGGCGTTTTCACATAATTGAAAAACAGCCTTATTATTCTATAACATAAAGTTTCTCTAATCAGTTTTATTTAGAAAGTTATAGGAAATTACTTCAGGTTCTGTCGGGTAACTGAAAAGACTTTTTGATTTTTCTGATTTCTTGTCTGTTTTTAGAGCAAAGTCACATTTGACTATCTGGTGCGTCAACCGCGGGGAATTGAACCCTGGATTTTAGCGTTGTAAGTTCGTAAGCTTACCACTGTAACACCGGGAGGACGGGAGGTATCGTAATCCATATATATCATTAAGTACATATGAATAGTTGTTATTAATGTATTACTGCTTGTACTTTTTGCGTATGATTCACATCACAAGTCTAGAATTTCAGCATTCAAAATCATGTAAACTTCAGTCTAGTCTCTTGCTAAGTAACTTATTGTTTCGCGGTCAAGTGAGCTGACAAGTTCTCACGCCCCATTGCTTTGAGTGACTGACCCTTGAAAATTAATTTGATTAACTGTCCGATTGCAATAAGGTTACGAGCCCTAACAAACGTTTATCCTAACATAGAGAATATGACTTTAGCGGAAAATTTTATAAAGTAGACGCATGTTTCTTAAATATACAAATAGAGATAATGTTGCCCCTTTTCACAACACCCAACTTGTTGTAACAGACATCTCCGTAGGCGAGCGTTTACATGTTGAACGATAGATGTACACTTGAAATAAACGTTTCACTCTGTTAGTGTGCTCATAATGTTGCGTTTTAGAAACCACTGTAAACACCGGAGTACTGGTTACCCAACATACACCTATATACGTAGACTGACGTATATGGTGTCACGCCAGAAACCATCGTAAACACCGGAGTACTGGTTACACAACATACCAT